TCTGACCATCACTGAAGCCGGTAGCAGCAGTGTGACCAGAAGGGCCAGCAGCAGCAGCAGCAGCGTGACCAGAAACAGTCTGACCATCACTTTTACCAGCAACAGCAGTGTGACCAGAGGGGCCAGCAGCAGCACTGTCATCACCAGAAAAGCCCCAATCTGCAGCATTGCTGTCAGAATCCTCTGCTGGACGTGTATCCATGTCAGCAGACAAGCACACCACAGAAATGCTCCAAACACTATAAACATATGTGTTTAAGGACACACTTAGGTTTAATATGTGCAGAATCAAATCATTTAAACATGTGTTGAAAACCAAAACACTTGTTCCCCACTCACATGACATTCCCTGAGAATTCCTTTTTGCACAGTCAACAACTACAAAGTAATCATTATGCCTGATAACCAGGATTGTTGCAGCTTTAAACTCAATAACGCACATTCCATCTTTCAAACAGGCTTGCAGCACCTCACTTAGTCCCACATTTTTATCAAAGTCAAAATGACAGCAAACTACATTACCACTTTCCGCTTTGAACACTCCACCAAAGATTCTTTGTTGTTCTACCAATTTGCACACTTCCAGGCCATCATCTACATCCACCCCTTTTCTAGCTACATAGGCCGCAAACTTGGAACCTTCAACAACAATTTCATCCACATCTGATGAATTCCAAGTGCAGACAGGAAAAATGGTGTGTTTTATTGCAGCTATAATATTACACCCACTTACCTTTTTAATATTCAGATAACTGTTAGGATTCTGCAGCAACCTACCTGGAACAAGAGGCAACGGCATCCCCTCTGAACAAACACAAGAAACAATATTAACAGCCTGACCTTTTGATGTTTGAGTGCGCTGTCCAACGTCCCCCTCCACAGGCGCCTTTAGAATAAAGGACAAATTTTCCAAGTGCAATAAACACAGTATTCAAAACATATTTTTATTCAATAACTTTTGCTATGTACATCCCACTTATATGGATTTATCTTTCAAAACGCTGAAGTTAATGAATTATAAACTGATGGTGGTCAGAGGGCCCGGGGGCACCAGTGACAGCAGCCTCTATTCTGTCAGTGAGACCCAGGACAGCCTC